GATTTGGCGCAACCCCCCGAGGGGGATGGGAGTCCGACCTGGTGGCACAGGGAGCAAATCCCCTCTCCTGCCACCAGAACACCCCCCCACCACCACCACCATCAAACTATCACAATTGGCCATAACCACAATTTGCACAGGGCATTGGGGAAAAAAACAAAAGCATATGAGGACCACAGATGTACAGATCAAAACGTAGCAGTTTTACACACAAAATAACCACTGGATGGCAGCATTTTTAAACGAAAAAGTTCGTCCAAGCTCTGCTCTCTATCTAAGCACAGAGAAATAAAACTGCCTTTTGTGCCTGGACTACAAATTAAAAGCTATTTTGCATTTTGCTTTTAAAACACAAACAGCCTGCTGGCAAGCAGCATGGTAGGAATAAGAGCAAGAGCACAGGCTTCAGAAAAATCAACGTCCAATAATAAAACAAAGGATTTTTTTAAGAATCTCTTGCTGTTCCTTGCATGAAGGGAGCCTTAGCTAAATTATTTAAACGGTACTTTGGTATATTTAATCTTCTGCATAAACTAGATAACAATTTGAATGAAACAGCACTTTAAGAAGATGTGACATACTAATTCTAATGGAGGTGTTAGTGAAGTTATCAGCTTGAGAAGTTGCTTCAAAAGAACGGGAAGAAAACTCACTGCCGTTGCATTCGCACGGTCTGACTATTTGCTCTTAAGCAGAACCAAGATTCCGATAAATAGTCTAGTCTTCGCACCCTTGGTGGCTTGTCTTCACAGGGACACGCAGAAATGGCTTAAGACAAATCAACTGAAATGGCAAAGCTAATGCAGAGAAGCTGAAACACGCTGAATGCCCGTGGGAACACTCATTCAGAGATAAAATGGCCTTAGTTCAGAGAAATGAGCTACAGCAAACTAAAGCAAATCTGCTATTGAGCAAGAAGGTTTTCAGAGGGTTTTAAGGCCTTAACTTCAAAACTTCAGTCGATTCGATTTCGACATTTACAGGTTTCCTTTCTTATATAACGTCCCACACAAACTTTTTCGATGAGACATTCATTGGCTGGAGTGGAAAGCAGGAGTAACAGATATGCTGAGAGTCTTGCAGAATGTATACGTCTGGGAGTACATTAACCAAATTAAAAACAAACAAAAAAAAAGGTAGTTGTTCATTAAGAAAAGCCTGTAAGACATTTAATTCTATAGTAAGTTTTGTGGTAAAATCAGTTGCCTTTTCCCTGTTGGTAAGTGATAAACTCTATTAAAAAAATACATTCCAGCACAAGATGACAAGTTACAAAAGGATAGTAGATAGGAGGTAGGACAAGACTCCTTAGGACACCAGCAGGTTGAATGCCCTTGCAGTCACAGCAGTACAACAAGGCTCCACTGCCATATCAATACCTGTAGCCTCGACACGCACGAAAATCCTTGGGCACTGGAATTGCTCAGCTTGCACCATCACTGTGGGCTCGTAGCCCTCCAATAAGACAGCCACCCACATGCCACCCATGGGTCATCTTCCCAAACTGCTTTAACTGCTCCCCAGTGCTTTCAAATGGGTTGGTAAATCCTACTGTGAGCTATTTAACTTACTAATGAGGCACAGCCTGAAAATCTGGGTTCAGTGCTGGCAAGTTTCCTGCATCATCTCGGGAACACCCACTCATACCATTTTGCTCAAGTCACCCTCTGCGAAATGGGAGGTGCTGGTTTGCTTTCCCCGGGGAGGCGTCTGGCACTCGAGTCGCACAAACAGCAAATGTTTAGCCACACAGATTGCACGGGAGAAAGTAAAACAAACTGAAACAGCTCTCCCTGCACAAGCCACGAAGAACAAGGACTGCGTGGGAACGTCGCTTCCCTAGACTAGAGGGAAAACAGAGCTCTCCATCTGCTCTGGGCAAAGAAGAGGACATGTGCTCTCCCCTGCCTCTTCCGTTTTATTCTAACATCTAAAAGTCATTTCTGCAAAGTGTCTGGGTAGCTGCTGATAACCAGCAGGTAACAACTCAGCATGGACAATGACATTTGGAGAGAGGGAGAGAAATGACAGCTTCACACCAGCGAAGCTGGGACATTTAGAAAGAGAGACAGGAAAAGAAATGAAGATGAAGGATCTTAAAGCTCTTCCTACTGGGACTCAAGAGATTAAAATACTTTACATACGGCACAGAGTCAGTGGAAAGTACAATATAACTTATGAAATGAAAATTGTATTTGAAAGCTAGAGTCTCCTAAAAGTCAGCCATTTCTTCACTTGTAGAAGAATAAAATGACTCAACTCCCTGCATCCTCTAGAGTAAGCTCAAAAGTATGAAACAAGGAAAACTGCTACATCCTCTTCAGCCTGCTGATGAGCCTCTTGCACAATACGTAGTAATTTTGATTTATCTGAGAGACCCAAGATGGAAAAATAGCCTGAGGTAATTTTTCAAGCTTAATTTAGTTCATTTAATATTTAATGACTTAATGAAGCTGTCTATGTGCAGAGGTTTCACTCTGGGAGGAATCTTAACATACGCAGAGAACTTAGGAAATTGGTTTAAAAAATGTAAAAGGAAATCAGTAACTTAATTCATAAATGATTGACCTCAAGAATCCTAGGACATTTTCCAGACCTCCTGAGCTCGCAGCTCAAATCTCTAGCCAAGCCCTGATAGGACGCAACACAGCAGGATTTTATTTCAATCGTACATTAAAAGAATTATAAGACCATCTGTGTGGGACTTTTCGCTCTGTTATACTGGTTGACAAGTGATTTTTTTTCCTCCTCTTCTCAAATGACATTTCCACCTCGTATTTTAACTTTCTGGCTTTCTTGCTTGTCATCTCTCCCCAGTCTATTTTCTGTTCAGGAGCATGGGGTCATTCACCACCCTTCATCACCAGGAAGGAGAGCCTTGCATTTTTGCCATGAACATGACTTCTCAGGCTCATCCTCTTTTAATATACATTTTAAAGGACTTCCAGCCTTTCTGTGATAACATGTTATGTATAAGCCAATCCTGGTTTCATCTCTTGAAGGAGATTAAGTCTTTAAGTCCACGTACTTACTGTCCTGAAAGCTTGTCAGCCTAGAGACAGGGACTAGTTGGATGCCACCAGACAGAAATTAAGGCCATATACATTATATAGATGCTAATAACTCTGGTTCAGCAGCTGTTCTTTTGTTCTAACCCAACAGCAGCTCCTAACATCAGTTCTGACCCGGGAACAGAGGAGAGGAGCCAATTGCTTTTGAAGATCCAACATTTTGAGGTTTTCAAAAGCCCTGAGACCAAGAGAAGCAGCAAGGTATGGGAATACCTCTTACCAATATTAAGATAGCAAACTCTTCATGAATCACTGATTTCAGAGCTGTTCAAGTAAATATTTGACATATGCAGATGTTTAGGTGTGGTGTAACAGTATGTTACATCCTGGTTCTGTATAAACATATCAACATCACCTAACCCAGGGGGCATAATCCATAAGGACATCGAGTTGAGTGTACCTGACAGCAGGGAAATAAAAACAGGGCTGGCTCATGCTTTTCAAGCCTTATGGGTATTTAAGCAGTTCTTCGGGCTGGATTACTTGTTCTTTTTAAACACACTAATGGCATTTTAGGTCATGCATCTACCTGGAACCCAGTCTTACATGCTCTAACCACAAAGAGGCTAATAATTTTTTGTTTTTTTTCTTTTTCCCCTTTTGAAAAATCTCTGGAAGAAGAAATTCTCTTCTACATTACGGCATTTCTAACAGGCTTACAGGTGGAAATGGGATTTTGACATCTTTCTGTGCCTGCTGGAGTACTGAACTGCTGTCAGAAATTGCTCTCCTCTTCAGTAATCTGACACAGCCTCTGTATAAAGTGTGCAGTGGTTTTGTGTATATCCATGCAGCAGCACACACCCCAAAATTAATATTCATATTCACACTGCCTTGTAGAAATTTTAAGCTCTCTGCACCAAGTCCTGGTTATCTCCTCGTATAATATAAACATCAAATCCCTTTTTGCTCCGTATAATAAACTATCAGTGACTACTTTTCCCCAAAACACAGGTTCTCAGCCACTTTGGGGTAGTTTACAGCTTTCAGTGAAACTGTATCACTTCCACTCATCCAAGCATGTGTCCTACAGTCCAGAGAGCATCTTTAGAGAGGCGGTAAATTGATAGGCTTTTCCCAGGTTGTTCTGATTTATAGTAGAAGAAAGATTTCTCTCTCAGACACCTTTCAGACACATCACAGAGCAGATTTCGGGGAAGAAGCACTGTAGGCACGTAGGCGTTGGCAGTCGAACGCAAGTTTTGCTGCTACCAGGAGTGAGATCGAGCAGAGCAGTGGGTGGCATAGTCCTATTAATAACCTGTCTTCTCTTTTGAACATTTCGGCATAGCCTTTTGGTTACTTGTGGTCAGCAAAGTACTGGGAGTCCCTCAAAGAAGGCATCATCAAGGTGTTGCTTTTAGAGCTACACGGTGCTAATACACAGACCCATTTTCCCCTGCAGCTGACTCCCTCTAGTTCTTTTTTCTTGGGCTTTCTGCATCCATGTCAGAAGTCAGTCTTGTTTTGTACTGTGTTCAGGACTAATTTTGTCACCAGGTGCTGCTCTGTGAGAACATTCCCCTTTTATATCCCATGAGCCCTGCACTAGCTCTCACACCTGCTGTGTTCTCCCAGGGGAGACTTTACCATCACTTTCCAGCAGCATAACTTACTCCCTGACCTCCAGAAAAATTTCCACTGCCAAACCTCCAGCAACAGAAGATGTATAGCCTGATGTGAGCCAGGAAGCTTTCCGGAGAGTTAAAACATCGAATATAAGTACTTTGCTGGTTCTCCAAAATCCAGTGATGCTAAACAAGTTTATTTTTGAGTGGTTTAGTCTTATATGAGACAAGGTACATCCAGTAAAAGACTGCCTCTACAGAAAGTCTGGTGACCTCCTGTTGATAAGATGACTTAATTAAAAACTGTTTTCTCCTAGATTCCCGAGGCAATTGAGATGGTTAAAAAAAAAAAAGTTTTATAGCTATGTTCACAGAGCACACTGCCTGCAAGCTTCTAAGGCTGAGTCATCAGTAAAATACAGTCCTCTTGTGATGTTGATGTGCTCCGTTGTGCCTGTCTCCAGAAAACTGATCAGCCAAGTCAGAGGGTTGCTGGCTCCATGGGGAGCTCACCTCCATGCTCACTGAGGGCAAAAACTCACACCGTGGCTGTGGGAAAGGAGGAAAATAATGAAAGTCTGCCAAAAAAGCAGAAATCTAACGCTAACTAACTTTTAAAGAGAGATTAGAGCTGTGATTACCTCCTCCTTCTCCACTGAACCTCTTGAAATTCTATCCTTCAAGAACAGCCCTGTAGAAGTTAATAGTCATGAATTATCTCTCCATATAGTTTAAGTCACACCTGCAAGGTTGCTCTCGCGGGGCTGTTTTTTCATGCAGCACGCAGCCCCCAAAGGATCTGGGCACAGAATGCTTTTACTTTTTGTCAGAGCCCCACAGGCTTCTACATGCGCTCCATTTTGTTCCACAAAAAGTAGAAATTAAAAATATTTCACAAGGAAAATTGATTTAAAATCGATGTTAGAATGGTGGGTTTGGAGTGTTCCTACCTTTCTCTGGCCAGCCTTTGTTATTCTAGGAATGTCAAACAGCTGCCCCGTGTAGTACTGCACCCCACTGAACATAATGACAGCAATAGAGTCTCCTTCCTTCTCAATTACAGCAAGGATATCTTCAATCCTCAAGGTCTCCTCCCCCTAAAACAAAGTTAAAGCACACATTTTATATCAACTCTGGCAGTAATGAAACTGTCATTTCTTATTTCATAATCTATATTTTACCACGAGCTGTGCTGCTCACATAAGGAGATCAAAAGCAAATCCTTAGCATGGTAATGATAAACAAAGGTAGTGTTATGAAGTAGCCTATGAGTAAGTTAGTTCAAAAAAAAAAAAAAATCATTAGCAAACTTATCTTGAAAGTGCCAGTTATAAAAAGTCTATTCACTTCATATTCTAGCATGCTTCATACTCTTTAATATTTCAGGCAGTTTTAATTTACAGTAAAAAAAATCCCAGTGCAAACAGCATATATAATGATTTTTATGTGGCATCTGAAATTTGTGACACCCACAAGACTTGAAAGTTGTCTATCAATTTCACTCTGTACTTTTCTGATAAACTTCATCTCCCTCAGGAAGCTATTATAAACCTGCCATATTTATATTTCAAAAACAATAAGTCTCACATCATCAAAAGTACAAAAATCCCCAAACCTGCGGTCGTTAAATATAGAGGACTTTCAACCAAAAAAACCTGCTCATTCTTGATTCCTTATAGGAAAATTACTGCCCCATCCTCCTCCTGTCTTCCTAGCAAGGGATCTGTAAAACATACCACCACCTAGGGATCAATTATGCAGTGAAAACCTGGAATTAAATTAGACTTGTTACTGAAAAGAGCTTGGGCAAGATTGTTGAATTGCAAGTAACTGTTATTATCTCAACAATCTTTGCAAATCTATCAAGCGTTCAGGAGTGGGCTCTTTACTCACAAGATGACTCAGGTTTCAGAAGCAAGAGGTCACCATCAGTTTACAGTTAGGTGGCAAAGTTCTTAATACTGCAAAAGTGAAGCGAGGCAGTCTTTCAAATTAATCTGAATTGCATATTGCTCAACGCAGACCTTTCCCTTAGTCCGTGCTGAAACAGACACGGTGGTGTTTGGGTTATGGCAATCTTTTACCTTAGCACATTAAAAGGACATTGGGGTTTCCCAATGAGCTGCTATATTTTCAGTGGTCTCAGGATGCTGTCAGTTTTTTGCAAATAGGAAAAACAGAAAATAAAATGGTTTTGTTCTTCAAGGAAAATTGACTAGTTGAATCAGGCAATTATAAAATGGGTTCTAATACCCAAAAGAACACACAGAAACAGAATATGCAATTCATAAGCTTTACCTAAAAGTATTAGTAGAAATAGATTATAACTTCTGCAGGCAGACACTAGAACATTCGATAATATACAACTACTCTCACATGAAACATGCTTCTGCCCTTAGCGACAGTGAGCAGAACCAAGATGTCGGAGGCCCATCTCAAGTGTATGTACACCAACGCACGCAGCATGGGAAATAAACAGGATGAGCTAGAGATGCGTGTACATGAGCAGTCTCCACATCAAGTCCATGAAGTCGAAGTTGGGACTCAACAGTGTACTGGAAGAGATTTCCCTGCACATTAGCGCAATTACATGGCAAAACAACTACAAGGAAAATAGCCAAACACATCAAAACTTCAGAAAACAGATCGAGATGCCTTGCCTTTCACTAAAATTAATGCTTGAAAGCTTAATCCAACTCCACTGAAAACTTCATAGATTTCCTTCGGGTTGAAAAAGATTAGAATTTAATTCATACGATCAGAAAGCAAGGATAAAGTCAAAGAACCAGATGCCAGTAAAAAAAGCCTGCATGGGTCATAGCCAAGGAGAAGACTGAACATTGCCTCTCCAGGGGCCCTGCGTACCCACTTTGCTTGGTAGCACATGCTAAATGCCACATATGCATTGCTGTCAACGTAAACGGGGCTTGGCTGGCACATACGTGCTGTCCCGTGCTATTCTCACATCTTCAATTTGCTGCACAGCTGGAAGGAAACGAGAGCTCTAAACTCAGACTGTTTTGCAAATCCTACCCACTGATTTTATCAATAAATAATGGTTCTGGAGATAGCATAAAAACCATTGCATAGTAATATAAAACAGTTTAAAATTACATGACAGGAGCTGCAGTGACGGCAGTTGCACAGGTTATTACTGACGTGCCGTAGCAATTTAAGCAGACGGAGTCCAAATGTACAAGTGTGCCTGGAACAAACATGGGATTAATATGAACATTACTTAGAATAAAGCCAATTTGAGGTTTATACATCTGTGCCGCCATCTTCATTACAAATAAACCTGTTAGTAGCTCGAGTCATTTTTATCGCACCTTAGAGATCAAATTTGTTATCAATTTCCACAAGTTTACGGTGTTGATGATAAAGTAGCAGTGGGCCACAAACCCAAAGATTAATGGGCTTTAAGCTGTGACGCACGGGCTATTGTCTCCTATTTTATAGCAGACAAATTATGTTTGAACTAGTAATCTAAAGTGCTAAGAACAAACATTTCCATCTCTGTCTGGGGATATATAAGTGTTAATGTTGTGAGTTTGTATTGATTTGGTTTCATAAAGTAAAACAGCAACAAGAATTAATAAAACATTTACAACTTCAGTTGATTTAGGCCAGTAGTTTGCTCAATGTCTTTAAAAAGACTAATAAATCAATGTACCCATTCAATCTTTTCCTCTTGTAACATTTTTTATTTGAACAAAAGGAATAAAGCTACGATCTGTAAAATATGCTGCGCTCAAAAGCTTCTGACAGATTTTTTTATTGTAATGTTACTTGGACAAGAAGAGCTAATAAATATTCAAATCAGGCTACTGATATTCTTTGGAAAAATATGATTAATAATACAAATATGGTGAAATATTAATTTCTTACATGGTCAGAGGGAAAGGCTCTGGCTTCTAGAAGAATTTTACAGCGTCTTGGAGTAGGCTTAAAGAAAGATAGCTGTTAAGAACAAAAAAATATGTTGAAATACATTTAAGC